ATGAAGATGAAGATGAAGATGAAGATGAAGATGAAGATGAAGATGAAAATGAAGCTGAAGAGGAGGAGGAAGGTGATCTGAGATTAAGAAGTTTCAACAACATCCGTGAGATTAAGAAGTTTCAACAACATTCTTCTTATTCTTAGTCGCAATAACCACCTAAGCGGTTTTGGCGATAAAGCTCGCAAGTCGTTTCCCTTTTATGCCATTGCTTGAAGGAACACAAAAAAAATTACGTTTTATTTTCTGAGCAAAAAATACAACTCAAGAAATAACGATCCTTTTTCAGCCATAAATAAATAAAACTTAAAAACTAACGATTATTTTCCGACCAAAAAATAAAACTCAAAAAAACCATTATTTTCCGAGCAAAAATTAAAACTAAAATGAACCGATAATTTTCCGAGTAAAAAATAAAACTAAAAAAATAACCATTATTTTAAGAGCAAAAAAATAAAACTCAGAAAACAACCATTATTTTCCGAGCAAAAAGTAAAGCTCAAAAAATAACGATTGTGTTTAGAGCAAAAAATAAAACTTAAAAAATGATTATGTGTTGAGCAAAAAATAAAACTCAGTTAATACCCTGTAGTCAAATGTACTAGTTGTAAACTACCTCACAACTAGTATGAACTGCATGCCCAACTAGTCAGCCAACTATCTTTTTTCCATGCAATCAACTGGTATTTTTAACACGGGGATGTCCTACGAGATGGCAATTGTCAGATTTCGGTCAGAAATATATCAGTCGCATACTAGTTCAAAATAGACAGAAAAATACTAGTATAATCATAGGCCAAAATGACTACTTTGGAAGTCAAAAAATATAATAAATTCATGAATATACAATAAAAAGCTTTTGATTAAGTACACTTTAATACATTACACAATTTTATGTAGTGTTAAATTTTTTGAGTATTTATTAAAAGGAAAAATAAATACATAAATATTTCAACTTTCGAACATAAATTTAAATGAATTTTCGATTAAATTATATTAAAAGTAAAAGCTTGAATATGGAAAACATTTAGGTAAAAAATAAAAAGATACCTTAGTTAATTTTTGAGTGAACTAAGTGAATAAAAAATATTTAAAAGGAAAAATAAGTGTTTAAAATTAGAGATTTGGATAAGAATAAAATAAATAAATAATTCAAGCAGTTATTAAAGATTCTTAATATGTGTCTATACTTTGGCTTGTTGATTGATAATTGAAATTAATCAAATAATTATATTAATCGTGTAATTAAAAAATGTCAAAAATAATAAAATAATGATGTAATTAAAGTTAACGAATTAATTAAAATATTTTGTTTAAGTAATTAATTATTAATCATTAAGCAGGTGCCAATGTCGGTATTCGTCGGTCCGTTAAACGGTTATCCAAAAAACATGGTTTAATTAATAATCAATATGAATATTAATCATTATTTAACAGGTATGGTAAAATTGCGAGTACGTACTCGCTTTAACGGTTTACCATATACTCATATAAAAGTTATAATATTTTGAGTACTCTATTGTATTAAACTGTCGAAGTGAAATAAAACTGGGCATGAATAAATCTTTTTGTACTTACTACAAGTCTGATCACTTTTGAACTAGTTCGGTTTCAGTCAGGAAATTCTGGTTGTAAACTAGTATTTTTCCTAACTACACCATTTCCAGTAGTAAATGCGAAAGCGTCAAATGAAATTGCGAAAGCGTCATTTGGAAATTAGAATAGTCAATTGTAAATGCGATATCGTCATTTCAAATTGAGAATAGTCAATTGTAAATGAGAAAGCGTCAATTGTAAATGAGAAAGTGTCATTTGTAAATGAGAATAGTCAATTGTAAATAAGAAAGCGTCAATTGAAAATGTGAATAGTCAATGGTAAATGAGAAAGCGTCAATTGTAAATGAGAATAGTCAATTTGAATTGAGAATAGTCAATTGTAAATGAGAAAGCGTCAAAGGAAAATGCGAAAGCGTCAGTTGTAATTGAGAATATTCAATTGTAAATGGGAAAGCGTCAAATGAAAAAGTGAAAGCGTCACT